GGCGCAACTGTCGCTTTCCTCGAACTCTCTCCATCCTCTTCTCGGCGTTACCTGAACATTTCGGCGTTTCTCTCTCTTGCTCTCTCTCGCTCGCTTGGTTTGCTTTTCACCATGTGGACAAAATTTCGGGAATGAAATGGAAAAAAAGAAAATTGGATGGCACGAAATATAGAGGGATATTGGCGGCTTGTGAAGGTATTGGATGTAACGATATTACAATCGATTTAATTTTGATTTTAATAAAAGGGTTTATGCAGTACATGGAATAGATAAATCCCTTTCTCGGGGGATGAAATCAATTGTTAGATATTTTATTCAATTTTTAATACGATTTTATTTGAGAATTTTTTTTTATAGTAAAACGGTTAATAATATTTCTCTGAAACGATAAATAAAAATTTTTTCGAATAAATTGGCGAGCTATTGTACGTATAATTTTGTGTAAAAACAGAATACGTAATATTTGAACTACTAGTTTAATTTTGATTTTAATAAAAGCACTCGAAATATTCTTTATGTATTATGTTATAGAGTTTATGTTTAAGTTTTTCCTTGTTAGGAGATGATCCAAAGCAATCGACATTTTATTCAATTTTTAATACAATTTTATTTGAGATTTTTTTTTATAGTAGAGTGGTTAATAATATTTCTCTGAAGCAATAAATAAAAAAAAATTTTCAAATAGATTAGTGAGCTACTGTACGTATAATTTTGTGTAAAAACAGATTGGAACAATGTTCGAACAGAGTATGAAGTACTGTTTTAATTTTGATTTTAACGAAAGTTTCTCTCTCTCTCTTAGGAAATGAGATCAATCCGATCCAAAGCGATCGACATTTTATTTTCAATTTTTAATACAATATTTTTTACAGAGAAGAGAATTCTTTTAAAGCGATTCACAACAGTAAATTTTGATTGAAGTGACAAATCTTTCGTTAATATTTCTCTGAAGCGATAAAAAAAAGTGTTGGGGAATAGATTGGCGAGCCACTGTACGTTGGAACACGTAATGTTTAAAACAGAGTACATAAGATAATGTTAGTTATCGAGTGTTATTTGTCGAATAGATTCCGCGATTCTTTCTTAGTTTTAAAAAAAATAAGGTTGGAAAATCTTTAAATCTCACATCAACAATATTCCTTCTCTTTCTTCCTCGTATTTTCAACAATCTCCATTAGAAAGAGAGATTGGATCGAGGCTTTTCTTAATCAGAGCAGGGACGACGTGTTATTTTCGTGGTGGAGGAAGACACGCCTTGGAGAAAGGGTCGTCGTCAGACCTAATTGCACGAAAGCGTCGGTTCCCAACGGTGGTGAGTCACGTTTACGCGTGTCCAACCACGACTGGGGCCGTGTATCGGGATGGAACGAGTCCGTCTGCTTGAAACAAAAAGCCTTTGTTCGAGCACCGCCTCCTTTTTCGGTTACACACACGCGCACGCACACCATCTCGACTCGCCACCACCACCCTTTGTGCGCTAAAACGTCCCCGTTTTGTCGGCCAATTCAGAAGGAACTTGTGGCTTTAAGTTTTCGCGTTAAAAAAAGAAAGAAAGAAAGGAAGAGAGGAAGAAAGAAAAATTCGATATTTATTATATATCTATGTAAAAATATCGATATTTAATTCCCTAATCTGTAAGGGAACGATAGAAACTTTTTTCTGGAATTTTTAGAGAAAAAAAAGGAATGAACGAACGATTATTCGTAGCTGATTTAGAATTAAATTGCCGTGTTTATCGTGCAAAGAAATATACGTGTGTTTCGATTCTTTTGAGTCGCGACCTATTTCTTTCGTTTTTACGCGATTACGTAGAAAAGAATTTTCAATAGAGCAAAGTAAGTGTTATATTTTAGAGAAGAATCTCGCATACTCGGTGATTCACGAAAATATTTGAACGTTATCTTACGTGAAAATTTACTTAATTCGAAAATTGTGACTTTAACGAGAGTTTGTTAATGCAATTCGACGACGAAAAATTCTTTTTAAATTTTCCATTTTTTTGAATATAATTTGTCCAGCCAATTTTTCTTTTCCGCGATAAAGCATTAAATTCTGAACATTTTTCAATTTCTCTAAATTTTCCCTTATCTTCCATTACGAAAAGCCGTTTTAAAAACTTCGAACGTTGATTTCATTTCCTTCTAAAAAGCAATATTTTGATTAAAAACGAAAAAAAAAAAAAAAAGAAAAAAATTATTCGTTAACAATTATTTCATCATCGTGAAAAATAAAAAAAGCGTCGAAACATTTATTGCAGATTTATCTTATGTTTCTAATTAATTAAAAACTGGATAAAGTTGCGATATAAAACTTTTGCCCGTCCTTCGAATTGATTTACCACACCATACAGGTTGTTTCTAATCGATTCTCGAGCCAGTAGTTGTTCGTTAACACGAAAACTTTAGTCTCCCGATACGCGAATAGCGAACGAGTCCGGTCCCTCGACTTAGTAGAGGCGAGACTACGGAATAAGTCGCTTCTAGCCTCTAGCCGATGCATCGACACTGCTCGAAATGAACGTCTGCTCCCTCGTATACGATGCTTTCGTACGGATTCACGTGGAAAGGTAAATAAAAAAGAAAGAAAGAAAGAAAGAAAGAAAAATTGTCTCAATTGATAAGTTGTTTGTTTTTTTATCACTTAGAGATTGGGTTCGTTTAAACGCGATTTATGACCGATTTATGGCTTCGTTCACGATTCCGAGTAAATGAAAGCGCAATTTTTAGATTGTAAAAGTAGTTATTTCTTTAAGAGTTTCGTAACTCTGTAGCTCTGTACTCGGGATCGCGATGTTGATAAATAAAAGAACGATACGTTCGAACAAAACTTTGATAAAATTATAGAAAAGAATTTCTGATAGATTGTGATGTTCTGATGTTGAGAAGAAATAAAAAAGATATATATATATATATATATATATATATATCTCGACGTAAAGTCATATCTATAAGCAGATAAGATTAGTAAATTCGATATCTTATTTACTTTTAAAAATCGATATTTTGTAAAATTTATATATATATATACTGGAAACAAAGCCAATTCCAATCAGACTTTGTTCGATCGCAGATTGTAACGTGGCGTGTCCGATTTTATCGATTTTGTGATTTTAATCGTTATCTAGATTGAAGAAAAACTTCTTTCACATCACGTTAGATCGATCGACATCGAGTCGTATATATCGCAATATCTTTTATTTCTTTTATTTATTCATTCATTCACTCATTCATTAATTTATTAACACTTTTAATGATTCGTTGTAGCGAAAAAAAAAAATGAGGATAAATTAAAAAATTTCACTTCTTATCGTTTTACAGATTCGCAAGGATGGTGGGCAACATGTCGAGCGGATGGATGAGGAAGATCCTCCTCTTCCTTGTTCTGATAACCGGGATCCTGCTGATCGCGATGTACGCTCACGCCCCGCCACTCGCCTCCCTTCAGCCGTTCTCGTCGCGACGGTGAGTAGCGTACACGCGACAATACGATCCACCCAGTCGAACCGGTCGATAACACAGTCCGCGTCTATTACCGCCTATTAAGCTCGCCTCGAGACTCGAAGATCGGCGCCACGCCGCCACCTTCGATCGTTCATTCTCGTCGCGCGTCGATCTTACGATTCCCGACCACGCTCGTCGCGAATCCAATTAGAGAGGAAGAAAGAACGCAAGGTTTCGTTCCTTCGTTTTTTTAACGTTTTTCTTTCTCTCTCTTTCTCTCTCTCTCTATCTCTGTTTCATCTTCTCTTCGCCACATTTTTCCACTTCAATCTCTCGATCATCTTTGAATAAAAATTCGATTTCGATCATTTTATTTTCACCGTGTACAAAGAGTGGGAAAGGAGATGTTCAGAGTTCGATGAAGGATGAAGAATAAGAATAAAAATAATCGCGTTTTAATTCCTTCTCCTTTCGCCACGTGTACACGTCTATCTTTGTTCTTCTTTCGTTTCTTGCGAACGAGTCTCCCCACTCTCTACCCACTCTACCCACCCCACCTACCACCCCTACCACTCACACGCAAGATCTCGACGCCTCGATTATTTATTTAATCTTTGTTTATAACTTTTGTTGCCGCATTCCGTTTCGTTCATTATCTTCCGCATCTCGGTGATCGACATCAAAGACTGAAGGAGTTGCAACGAGGCTTGGTTACTTTCCTGGTCGGTAATGAAAGCACGAAGAGACCCGGAGAACGGCTCTACGAGTATCTGGAAGAGCCTAGGTAACGTCTTTCCCAACCCGGAGGAGGGATGTCTCTACCTGCTAGAAAAGAGAAAAAGAAAAAGAAAAAAAAAAGAACGCTTTCTTTCTTTTCTTTTCTTTTCTTTTCTTTTCTTTTGTTTTTGTTTTTAACCTTCTCTCTCTTTCTCTCCTTCCTTCGGAAGTTTGTCCTTCATCATTAAACGCCATCCGTTTTTAGTTTTTTCTCTCTCTTTCTCTCTCTGTTCTTTCGTCCAGGAACCGATCTATCGTCGCGTATCCCGCTTTCTTCATTCGGCTCTGCATTCTTTGGGACGCACACCATTACCCCCACTCCCACGGCGTCCATATGCTTTCTCCTTCGTGTCCTTTGCATGCCCCCTTCCCTCTCCCCTGCCCATTCTATTTAAATTGTCCAGCTTGGCCTTTGTAAACGATGATTTTTTGCTCATCGATCGAGTATATAATTCTGTTTACTTATTTAAGATCGGTGAACGAGGAATGCGAAATTATTATTGTGCTCACTATTATTCGATGTTTCGTATGGGGAATGCAAATGTGTGTAATAATTTTCTGGCTATTTATAGTGTTTATTATAGCGTTTTATATAATCGATAATCGTTATTTAACGTA